AAAATTTAATTCCTGAAAATAATGAAAGCTATTTAACTAACTCGGTAAAGAAGAAATCTTACATTAATAAAAGCCCCAAAATGCCTTATTGAATTATTCACATATTATTGAATTTCACTAAATGGTATAAATGCCACATTTTTAATTAATAGTCACTTTCCATGCATCACAATTTAGTTGGGATAGCTATATAAATTTTTTCTTATTTTCATTCTCAGTTTTGATTGTCATTATTATTCCAATATTAAATATTATGTTATTAAAATTGTATGTATATATAGAGTTTGCGAGAGAGAGAGAGATTCGAACCTTCATATCCTCTTACAAACTGGTTTGATTAATCTATGAAGTAACTATCAATAGTACAAGGAGCCTCTATTATCTTACAAGGTGAAATATGTGTATTTATTTCATTGAATTAGATAAGAACATAAAGAATCGTCCCGTGCAAGATATGCATAAATATTCAAAATGAAATGTCTATCATATTCATGGCTAAGTTCTCCATCATCAGATATTCCATTTCCCCTAAGCAATTCATCTTACTGGTTCCATTGCCTGCATTTTCAAACACACAAAAATTAGACTAATGTTACTATAAAACAAAAAGTTAACGGACGTCTAATTCTTCTCCTTCCAGTGCCGTTGAATCAATCAAACTTAAGTAAGTAGGTTGTTTGGTAAAAAAGCTTGTCCTCATTTTAAAACATACTTTCTTTTTAGTGAATTTTAATATGTTGTACTACCATGTTACTTTTCGTACTAATTAATTTTTAAGTGACTAATTTAGTTTATATACACCGTTATCTGTAATTATCTTTTGAATAACCTAGTAGCGCATATGTATACAAATTATTTTACACTAGTGGTGTATATTAGTTAAAGAAAGTCTTTTTTTAAGAGATCAGGGGTAAAATACTGAAACAATAAGAAGAGACATGCATACCGTAAAAAGAATTAGGCATGGTTTGGTTGAAAGTTGGATATTTGTTGAACTTCTTGAGAGGACAAGAGGAAAGTGGAAGAATTGGTATATTTTGGCAATTGCAAATCTCAATCATGTTTCCATCTGGATCATGAAAGAAGAGTTGATCCACCATGATTCCACCTTCTTTCACAGTTGCTGTTACATACTCAATCTTAACTCTTCCAATCTCTCAATAATGAGGTTCATATCCGAGCATTGAAATGAAATGTGATTGTCTTTTGGGTTTATCTTTCCCTTCTTTGATGGTGCATCTTCTTTTCCTAGCAAATGTATTCCAATTCCATGGCTGAATAACCTGAAAAATCAACCCAAGTTGTCATAAGTTTTCAAATGTTAGGAGAAATGCAAGTAAAGAAAAAAAAAAAAGAAATTAAACAGAGAATGGGTGTATTTACCAAGCTCCATCAAAATCAAAGGAAGAGGGTCTCTGGATTAGAACAAAGCCAAGAACTTGCTCATAGAATTGGACACTTGTGGGAACAGATTTGCAAACAAACGAAACATGATTCAATGCTAACAAAGGCATCCTTGTAATTTCCTCATCTGATGACCAGTTGAAGGTTGTCTCCTCAGCAGTTTCTGCTTTCATTATCTCTTTTCCCATTCTATAGTTCCTCTCTTTCACACTCTAAGTACTCAGTTAATTAATGATATCAATAGTAAGTAGTAGATGGAAGATGAAATACTCCTTAAATTTTTGTGAGGAACTTTACAAGAAGTGCACACATATATATAAGCACAAACGAGAGAAGTACCTTTCACTTGTACGGAGGGCCGGGTCGGGTTGGGTTGTGTTAGGTGGGGACGAGGGGTAAACCATATCTCCGCTTTAACTTCATTTATTAAAAAGTAATACCCTCCGGTCCAAAATAAGTAATTTTTTGGATTTTTTCACACAGATTAACTAGTCCACATTTTAGTATTAATTAGCAATAAAATTGATTATATTAACTTTTACTATCTTACATAAACACTCCTAACACATATTCCAACACTATTTACTCCAAGGACAATGTAGGAAAAAAATAATTAATTCATTTTTGAAACCTGAAAAAATCACTTATTTTGGACCGAAGGGAGTAATGATGTATATTAGGGGTTTACGCGATATCAGTGAGAGATCCAACCACTTATTTAATACAATACCGTGTTTCTGAGTTAACTCCTGCATGCATATACTAAAAACAAGTATATATATAAAAAGAAAAAAAAAAAGGCAACTCGGTGTACTAAGCTTCCGCTTTGTACGGCGTCCGTGGAAAAGCTGGACCACAAAGGTTTATTGTACGCAATCTTATCCTACATTTCTGCAAGAGACTATTTTCACACCTTGAACCCGTAATCTCCTGGTTACATTGTATCAACTTTACCAGTTACACCAAGACTCCCCTTCACTAAAATACTCTCCTATCCATCAGCTGAATTTTGATGCCCTCCGACTCCTGCAATAGCACGTTTTTTCTTTTCTTTTTGTCCAAATTAAATTCCCGCAAGACCTGTCAAAGCACATGACTTATATCTAGTCAAAGACTCATACTCTTACTCGGTTTCACTAGCTTTTTAGTATTTCTTCTTTTTTTTCCCCAGATGTTTTAACAAATCTTTGTTTAATTTTTTTTATTTTTTTGAATTGTCAGGAACTTCTCTTTTGATTTTGTTCAGGTCTTCTCTTTTTATAATCTCTCATCTTAAAGGAGTAACTGAGCTTGGTCTAGGGGCAAAATTTTGACTATATATTATGTCACACGTACGCCACACGGTAGTCCTCTTGGACCTAGTGTTATTTTGTTGCAGAAAGGAATAAACAATTAGTAGAAATAAATGTGTCTAGTCTTCGATAGCTTAACTTGTCACAATTTAAAATTTAAATGGGAAAAATTCATATTAAAATAATTGGGCTGCCTCCTTTTCAGCTTTATAGCCCATATTTTAATTTACAATTGAGTAGCGCAAAAATTATAGGCCCATATCTGAAAAAGGAGCGTTAATTCCATTTTTTTGGGAGTAAAAAGCGGGATTTTCTGCATTTTCTCAGATTCTTTCCAATCTTCTTCCCCAAATACTTCAAAAACGAGATCTTCCCATGAATGCAGCTCCAAAAACCCTAGAATTTCTTCTTCATCTCGAATTAACAACAAATCAAACACGAAAAGTAAAATTTGTTTGCTGCAAATCAGCGCAATTTTAGTTTTTGCTTCAATTTTGATTTTCATTTTTTGTTCGATGGAGATTTTTCCAGTTTACGTTCTTCATAGTGGTGAATGGGAAGAAAACAAGTTTATCAATTTCGTCAGCAATTGTGTAATAATCGAGTCGACATTCACCTACAACAATTTAGTTGCAGCTATTTTGGAACAGATTAGGATCGATAGTGAGTTAAACACAATAGAGATTAATTTTCTCCCAAATGTTGGTTTGCCACCGATCCTGATTTACAACGATACAGGTGTGAAGGTGTATATCGAATTAAAGAAGAAAAACTTGAATTTCACTGAATATCCTTTATTTGTGACAGTGAAAGAGATATATGAAAATCGTTTGGTTCCTACAAGTTCTAGTTGTGTAGTTGCTACAAGTTCCAGCTGTTTGGTTGGTACAAGTTCAGATTCTAGAGATGTATCAATAATTGATAGCACTGAGATTATTGATATCAAATTTATTGAAAACACGAAATTTAGTGAAAATACGGGTATAATAGATGATATATTGAACGAATTTGTTGAGGAAGATCAAGTTTATAAGGATAAAGAGACAGTTGTCAGTGTGATGAAGAACTTGGTTGTACGTGAAAGGTTCCAATTCAAGGTGAAGAGATCAAGCGCAACAAGGTATGTAAATAATTGTATATTCTGTTATATATATGTATAAAGTAGTATATATTTGTATCTAGGTATTAAAATTAGTATATATGTAGTTATGTTTTTGTATACAAGTGTATTTAGAAGTTAAATGATCTTTAATCCTAGGTATCACCTTATGTGTATGGATGAAAATTGTGCTTGGAGTTTCAAACTTCTGCCGTTTTCAAGGCAAACATATTCAAAGTGAGAAGTTACAATAATAATCACACATGCGGCTATGGTGAAAGATACTTAACACAACGTCAAGCTACTTCGGGTGTAATTGCTAGTATAGTCAAGGACAAGTATGTTAATCAAAAAAAAGTTTACACCGCAAATGATATAATAGAGGACAAACAAAAGCAACACAGAATTGAGGTGAGCTACATGGAAGCATGGAGAGCTAAAGAGATAGCAATGGCAATGATAAGAGGGAGTCCTAGTGATTCATATAAGGAGTTGCCGAAATATTTTTATATGTTAGAGCAAACAAATCCAGGAACGGTTACAAAGTTGCACAAATTAGAAGATGGATGCTTTCTTTATGCATATGTTTCGCTATATGCATCTATCAAGGGCTGGGAGCATTGCAGACCGATAATGGTTGTTGATGGAAGTTTCCTTAAAGCAGCATATAAGGGTACCATATTGACTGCTTGCACACAGGATGGAGCTGGTGAGTTGACTGCATTACCTTGTTTCTGCAGTTTGTATAATGTTGTAGTTTCATGTATAAAAGTGTATAGGATTTCACAGCTACTGTTTTTATAAAATTTGCAGTTGGTATAAAATTGTATAATTGTGTATAACTGTGTATAATATTTGTATAATTGTCTGAATCCTAATATCTATTTTGTATAAACAGGAAAAATCCTTCCACTTGCATATGCAATTGTAGATTCAGAGAATAACAAATCTTGGGAGTGGTTCTTTGTCCGATAAAGGGTACTTTTGGAGTTAGGGAAGGGATGTGTATAGTTTCAGATAGAAATGAAAGCATCTTCAATGCCACAAAAGCTGTGTACCCAGAAGTACCACATTGTATTTGCATGTTTCACTTGTGACAGAATGTAAAGCGCACATTCAAGAAACATCACAAACAATTGAAGGATATCTTCTTTGCTTTGGCTAGAGCTTACACGATAGAGAAGTTTGAGTGCCATATGACAGAGATGTGCAAAATTGATCCGAGAGTGCAGCCTTACTTGTTCGAAATTGGATACGGAAGGTGGTCTAGGGCATATTCCAAAGTTAAAAGGTCGATGGTAATGACTTCCAATATAGCAGAGTCAATTAATGCAGCAAACAAGGATGCTAGAGAGTTACCAGTAATGCGATTGCTGAAGTACATGACAAATTTGCTACAACAGGGGAACAACAAAAATAGAAAAAGTGCAATGGAGACATCTACAGAGGCTTGGCGAAAAGTACGACAAACTCCTTTGGGAAAATCTGATTTGCATCGGAGCAAATGACGGTAAATTGAATCAAATAAAATGATGCTTGGCACTGCTGACTTGCATTTTACTGCTTGTATAAGGATGTATATCTCTGTATATAATGTATAATGTCTTTCGCTTTTTAAAAATTTTTTTTTTTGCAGGTGAGGCCTGCTACGGAGAAGTTATATACTGTGTTTGAAGGGGTAAGGCGAAACATAGTGTGCCTTGAAGAGGGAACATGCAGTTGTGGAAAATTTCAAATGGATGAACTTCCATGTCCGTATGCTTGGGCGGTTTTGAAGAACCAGCAGCTAAAACCTGGCCAGTATTGCTCTTTTTACTACAAGAAGGATAAACTCCTTAGAACTTATGAATTTCCAGTGAATCCGATGCCAGATGAGAGTCTATGGGTAATCCCAACAGAGGTGATGGAAGATGTGGTCCTACCACCTAAAGGGAGAAGGAATGCAGGAAGGCCAAGAAAGGAAAGACTCAAACCTGCTTCAGAAAAAGAGTCTAAGAGGGCATTTTCATGTTCTGTGTGTGGACAAGGTGGTCACAATAGAAAAACATGTATGAATCGACCAAAATAGATAGTTGAAAACATAGCACTTCCTATTACATTTGTTGTCATGTTGAGTAGTTAAGTTTCACAAAGAATACAGTTACAAATGTTGAGTAGTTAAGTCTCACAAGTAATTGAATTACAAATGTCAATAAAGATTTACAACTTACGCTATATATTGCAATTGTGTTAAATATGTTTCATTATACATGTTTTGATTATCCAATAATAGTGTGTTGCTGTTTTTAATGGTGCTAAATATATTGATACATTGTACAAATACAAAACAGAACTGCTGGTATTATATGTATACAGATGTATAAATAAGAGTATAAGTTTGTATAAATATGTATAAATCCTGCTACAACAACAAAACTGCAACCATAATGAAAATACATACTTTGTTAAAGGACAAAAGCAACTGATATATTCATTAAAATGTAATTCATTTACAGCCACAATGTGTAATGACTACCGCAAATTACACAAAAATAAAAACATCTATAAAATCCTTTAATGCTATCTCACAAGTAGCAGAATAGTACTTAGACAAAACTAGGCAACAACTCCTGATACATAGAAAAACTACAGTAAAATGAAAAAAAAACAGAACTACTTTTCGGTCGCCTCTTCCTCTTCTTGAAAAGTCTCCCTGTGATTTCATCACCACTAATTGCACCGGACTGTTATTTTTTCCTTCCATAATCCCACAACAGAGATCCCCACCTGGTGTGAAGTGTCTCAATGTCAAAATTATCTTTTCGAATTTCCTTACCAAGGATGAAATACTCAGCAAAAGCCAGCAACAAAAGCACCACAGTCACTGTAATTAAAAAGAAAAAAATCAGATTCAAATAGGTAAACTAATAGTAAAATAGTAAAACAATTGAGATTAACCTACCATTTGATCTGTTGGGGAACATTATTAACCAGATTAATCTGCGAAGCATTAGAATGGGATTTATCGGTATATGCACCATTGTTCCAATCAATGCCCTTCTTCTCGACATAAAAATCAGAACTCTTCAAGAAGTAAGGTATTAGAATTGCATAAGGTAATGCAGCATCCAAAACAAGTCTATCATTAATAGCTCCACGATTAGAATCATAGATGTGGATGCACCTATCTATGAAGGTAAACACTCGCAAAACCCAATGGCCCAATTTTGCTCTTCCGCGCTTCACATAGATAGGGAATAAGACGTGGTCAACAATGTGCCACGGGACATTTGCATCACAATAATATCCTCTAATGTACTCTTATATCTCATGCCCTTCAGGAATCACTTAAGGATCTTGATTCACTTTGAAAACTTTATACAGGGAGTTGATTTTGTTACCAAAGGCAAAGTCGGTTGTAGTAAACCACATGGCAACACTCGGCCCATATTTTTCCCTCTCCCTCAAATAATAAAAGAGGACATCCAAGTGCTGAAACAAGAAATAAAATAGAACAACCATCACTACCAGATATTTTAAATATAGAAATTTATACACTATTATACAGAGGTATACATATTTATACAAGGTTATACAATCTTATACAATGTTATACAATCTTATACTGTGATTATACAAGGCTATGTATACACTATGGGGGTCTCAAGTAATAAAGATATGCAACAAATAAAAAAAGGCATTAGAACATAAATTTATTAAATACCGTGTCAATGAAAGGTCGACCACACTATGCAAGTGAGTGAAACCAATCCTTCTTGGTCACATTACACGAGCCAAAAGTAAAAGCTTCCGCAAGCTTATTTACTTCATCGGGATATATATTTTTGGCACTTCAAATCACAAAAAATAAAAAGTAATCAGAACTACATTCATTGACAAGTATAAAATCAGAACATGAAAGATTAAAGAAAGTGAAGATACCTTCGCCTCGTATGCATCCCATTATCAACAAACGTGCAAAACTCTTTAGCCAATGGCGACAATGGATCAAAATCATCAATTTCGATCGTGAAAGGATGCTTGATATCAAAAATGAGCTTGGGCGCCGATCCTGATGCCCCCGAATCAAAAACTGCAAATATGAAGATTTGGCATATTTTCCTGGTATTTTCTGTCAAACTGACTTTTCAGGAGAAATGAAATCATCTTCTACGTCTATGATGGATTGTTTGTGAAGCACAACTTGGGACATTTGTAGCGCAGCTAAATCTTCATCGCCAATGTCATCCCAAAATGTGTCACCCTTGACATCACCTGCTGCCCCTTAGACAGAGAAAACAAATAATAAAAAAAACTTTAAAATGAAGAAAAGAAAAATCAGACAAAAAAAGAAGATAAAATGCAGAACAAATACCATGATCAACACCATCAGTAACTCCCTCGTCAGCTAGCACGTCATCTTGATTCACTTGATTGACAAAGTCAGGAACAACATCATATTGATAGCCATCATATTCGTCAAGACCAGATGTATTGTCATCAGACACGCGCTGATGAATATAATAACAAACAATAGAAAGATAAGGCATAACTGTTGAGTGATGATTCAGAGAAGGCATAACTATTGAGTGATTTGGTTTTATCAGTAAACAATTACCTTAGAATTAGTAAAATCCTCCCTCGTTTGCTTGGTTTCCTTCACATTCAGAAAACTGAACACTTTTTCAAAGGAAGAAACTACACGATTGTTGAGTGTTGTCACTGTATCAGTCAATTACAACAACAACAACAACAAAAATCAAAAGCAAATCAACAAAACCATGTTTATAACCAAAAAACCATGTATATACAAAAAGTACTGATAAACTACAGAAAAGTTAAAGGTCCAGTACCTTTCCAACAGCACTCCTCAACTTCTCAACTTCAGCATTCAACAGATCAATGCGCACCAAAGGATCATAACTCGGGTTAGGCTGTCGATCCATATTCTGAGGAAAAGGTCGTTTAGACTGCTGCTCCGTATTCTGAGGATAAGGTCGTTTAGACTGTTGCTCCATATTCTGAGGACAAGGTGGAGATGCAGCGACAGAATCATCAGTGTGAAAGGCAGGCACCACAGGCACATCCCCTGATGCAACATCATCGGCATTAACTTCAAAAAGCGTGTCGATGTTCAGAGTTGACAGCTCTTCACGAGTAGGGGAAATGTTCCTATAGTTCAACTACAAGAAAAAAAAACTGGATTACAATGGTAGAAAAAGGAAATTGTAACATATTCATAAATATACATACAGAAAAACTGAAATCATATATGAAGAAGTATTATGGTACAAAATATTTACCTTGTCGATACTACACATGATCACCCCGCCAGTCAAATCCGCATATGTTGGAGTTTCAGTCACTTTCCAATTAAGAATGCGTGGCACATTTGTTCCAACGCGAACAGCTAGATGCTTGTCAACAATAGAGCAACACTCAAAAAACCATACTTGTAATGCAAGTGGCAAACCTCCAAGCCTATACATTGTCAAATAGTCACACTGTCTGTCCCTCATTGTCCTTAAAATATCTTCAAATGACTTTTTTCCCCAAGCATACGTCTGATATTGACCACTTTCAATGATATCAAATCATCTTTGTTGATACCATGATTATTGGCATCTGAGAATATGAAATGATGGACAAACACCATCAAGGCCATCTTGAATGCATCTTCGTCCGACTTCCAGTCCTTTTTCTTGAAGCGATCAAGAAGCTGCCCCCTAGTTATAGCCTTTTTTCCATCTCTTGAAAAATACTCTTTTAGCAACCTATTAACATCTGGTTTGTCATAGAAAGTGGCGTCGTCGTCTTCACACTTCAAACAAGTTATAACTTGCAAACTCGCCAATGCCAAAACGCAACAAACAACCATTAATTTGCACCCACAACTCCCTTTCACGTCCTGGGACGACTTCCCTCAATAATATACAATGAATAAGTTGATTTTGAATTTTAAATTGAGGGAGGTCCAAGAAGTACCCAAAACAACTAGCACGGAACAGCTGAAGCTGTGTGTCAGTCAAATATTACTTCAAAATGCTCACAATCTCAATCTCGGTGTGGGAGCTAATCCTGTTGTGGAAATAATCAACTGGTTGTATATAGAAGTCCCTAACGTTGCATAAGAAAAAATAACAAGAAATAGATCAGGAACAAAAACTATACTAAAACATTTTATAAAAATATATAAATAAGTATAGCAGAACTTGTATAAAGATGTATAAATAGTTGTATAACTTTGTATAAAATTGTATAAGCATGTATAAATTACTAGCAACACAGGGAGTACCTTCAACTGAGCTTTTCTCTCATTCAATTTGGAGCGAATAGCAAACCTTTGTTCTTTCGATAAGGAATCAAGGCCACTATCACCATCATCCTTGATCTTTCTCCTTTTCGGTTTAACATTGCGGCCTACATCATCTTCGTTAACCAAATCAACTTCCAGCTTTTCTTTTAATTTTTGAGGTCTCCCACATTTCTTACACCGTATTCTAACAATGTTAATAGGAGTAGGAGTATTACTTGTTTGCGACCGAGTCACTCGAGTGCTCCCTTATTGTAACTTTTTTGGAGGAGGAGGAGACTCAAAATCATCATCATCGGGATCCTGGACATGCGTTTTCGCTTCAGAAGAAGGTGGTGAGGGCAAGTCACTCGATGATTTAACTGGAGTGGGAGTATTTCTCGTTTGAGAACGAGTCATCCGACTGCTCTCTTGTTGCGAATTTTTAGGAGGAGCAGGAGACTCAAAATCATCACAATGTGGCGCCGGGACATCTACATTAGATTCAGAATCAAGGCTTGAGGGCAACTCCCTCAATCTTTTCGCACAATCTAACTTAACGCCTTTTCCAGCAATCTTCATTTTGCTTTTAGAAGCAGCTACTTTTTAGCGCATTTTCTACAATAAACCAAACAACCAAAGCTTTAACAAAATTGAAGACAACTGAAGGAAAACACAAAAAATAAACTGTAACAAAACTCAAAGGTTAACCAAAACTAAAGGCCATGAACACAAAGCAGAGGCCAATTTTTCCAAATTGTAACAAAAATTAAAAAATAAAAAATTCTACCCTAAAA